TGCCATGTGCGTGGGTCGTTGGTCACATCTCGGATCGACTGTCGCACGCATAGACAAAGATCAATCAGGCATTCCCATCGTTCAGGGGTCAGCTGATAACTAGTCCGGGGGATAAATCACTGATCTGTACTTTGCCTAGCTCCCTGAGATTTACTGCAGAAACCAAATTGCCATCAAAACGTCACTGCGATTACGAACGGAAGTAGAATGCGTGGCGCATTCCAAAAGCGACTTGATCAACATATCAACTAATAAATAGATTTTCATCGCCGACAGGACGTCTATGCATGCCCACGGTGATAAACGATCAATCATTAACCATGTTTCAGTCAGGAAGATTTGCAAACTCTGCCCCTTTCACAAACCCTGCCTTGCAACCAGGTCATGCATGTCCTGCAATTGGTGAAAATTTTTGCAAAATACGCTCCTCCCCCTCGAAATTTACTCCTCTGGTATGGCCCCTCCCCCTTCCCATGTATGGCGCACTTGAAACGGAAAACGGAGTTAGCAACCGAAAACGTTTTTTTTCACATGCAAGTAGGACCCTCTCTCCTTCACCAGTGTACGACGTACCCAGCTAGTAATATGCACGGAAACACAATGAAATCTCATGGCTTAGTCGTGACCAGGGTAGACGAACAAAGGACAAGGAAATGATTCCTTTTCACCATGCTATAAATTATTCCCGCAAAACAAGGAAGCTCTGTGAAGCTCCGAAAACTCCTCGTTTACTTCAAAATGTCACCAGCTATTAATATGAAATGCTAGTAATCTGATAATCTTAAGAGTCATAGAAGAAACCGATTAAAGTATGCCAAACTGTCAAATACGAAGCCGAAGTCCCGCCCATCGACAGCTGACTAATCAGCTGTGACTAAAAGAAGGTGATTGTCTGAGTGAGCTGAGAGATTACTTTTTATTACCACTTTATTGGGATGCTAACGTAAGCTGGGAGAGCCAGGACTTCTAAAATGAGCAGCAAGAGAAAGTCACGTGAGCAAGCAGCACTGCTATTCTACGGATGGATGTGTTGTCGATTTTCTAGAGTGCAAAACGCCGTTGCGAAAGCGTCAGTGACGCTGCCTGCACATTTCGCCAAGTGATTTTTGGTTCTTTAAGTGGAAGTGATTGAGCAGGCTAGTGGCTGACTAATATTCACAGTATCAATGATTCAGCAGCTATGCTGCTTTATCCTTTGTCCCAATTGTCTGAGAACGATCAACCGAGCTACAGAACTAGGAATGAAATCGCAAGCAAGATTTTTGACAGTCGGTTTTTCTTGTTTCAGGGACGTTGTAGAAGGAGGCGATCGTATTTGCTCGTTTGGGAGGGAAGTCCGTATTTCCATTCTGATCTTCTGAGAGTTGCTGTCTTTTCGTGGTTTTTTTTTCCTGTTTCATAGTTTTATATCCCCCCGACAGCAAAATTTCTGGGAAAAACTAGAAGTTTCGCGAAATTTTCAAAAAATGTGGTAGGAAGTTGGGAAAAATCTGAGAAATGGTAGAGAGGGGGTTGCATTTCCCTCCGGTTTTTTTCCATTTCACATGTGCTATTACGCTGTTACATATCTCCCCCCCCCTTTCCCGATCGAGAGCTCGATGAGGAGGGAACCATGGGGGAGGGTTGTACGGACTCGGGCTCCCCTACCAATTGTGCCGTCGTGGTACTACCGAGGAATTGTTACTGGTCTAGTTCGATGAAACGATGAAATACGCCACGCCTTCCTCACAGGCAATAGATGTTCATTTTTATTGATTTGGATAATTCCACTGCGTCAGCCAAAAATTTTACATGAAGACACCTAGGCGTCGGGCCTCACTACAAATAGAACAATTTGCCATTGCATCTTGTTCAAAAGCTGGAGCAAGCAGACTTATCCGAATTCCGGTCAGAGAGGTGTGGCCAGGTTACAACCCGCAATAGTCCGGCACCAAATGGCTCAAGATCAAGATCATAATCGCATTCAGGCCGTGGAATAATTCCAGTTTAGGGCAGTTTATGCAAGTTTATAGGTCGATTTTGGTGGAAATAGGCACTGAATACGCGCCATATGGCGCCAAAACGGATGTATAGCATGTATCAGCTCACCGGGTACCCTTTGGCAAGCTTTCGTGTGAGTGAAAAAACGGACCTCTTTGTCTGAGACACAGCTGAGAACAACGACACCTTTAAATTTTCACCTTGAGAGCAGCATCTGCATTACCTACTTTTATTTCAGCAGAGTGGCCCTAATTGAGAAATACATACCGAAACACATACTATGTACAAGATTAAATAGGTCGGGGTCGGGCCTGAAAAAGCATGACACCAGGCGCTTTTCAGCCTCCGAGACTCTTTCACGAAGCCGTTTAGTTTCCAGTATGCTCACAGTATCTATCTATCTATCTATCTATCTATCTATCTATCTACAATCACGATACAAAAATCTGATGTGTGATTTTATTTTTCCAAAACAAGCCGTTTGAACTGTCCCGGCGGTCAAGCAATTAGTAGAAGCCCTTACGTACATTGCAGTCTGGTCCTGACTAAGGTTATACTACTTTCGCAGCTTCACAGTAAGTAACCTTGGACTGGCAGTTCTCATGCTCTCTAGTTGTCCCGCCCACCTAAACTGACAGGCAATTCCTGTCACTAGTTCAGTTTTCGATAGTGTGTATCGTTTTTTCCACTGTTAGATGGTATGACCATTGAATGACGCGAAGGAGCAGAATGTCACTTCACTGGCATAAAACGAGCAGGTCCGGAGAACTCTTCCAGAGACGCTGTCCCTTACGCGGAATATTCTCCGCAATTTTTTTTTCTTCATTGCGCAGTTATTTGGTCACATATGTAGGTTTGTTATTGTATCCACAATATACAATCGCGGGGTTTGCATTTATTTAATATTGGGTTACTGCCGACTATTACGTCATAAACACGTACAGTCCATATTAAGGGCACTGGAGGCACGAGAAAAACAACAAAGGGGAACGAAAAACGAGTTTATTTACAGATTCGTTTTAGAATGAACACATCAGGGGCATTATTGCTAGAGGAAACGAGAAAAGAGAGAAAGTGGCACATACAGGTGCCACTTGTAACCTGATAAATTACTGGTAAAGCAACTGTGTCTGCTAAAATGGGCGCAGCCTCCGATATGGTAAGGAGCTTATATAGTCTTATCATCGACAGATTTCATAGAGGACTGTCGTTTGTGAGACTGAAAACCGAATGCAGCGACAATGAGCGGATTCAGTGATCATACTTGAAGAGCAGCCAACGCTCCTAGTCGTCCCGGAGCTCCTGTCACTCCTCCACCTGCAGCATGAATTCCCAAAACAGATGCTTAATTTCAGTCATATCAAAAAGTTGCTCCACCTGGATGAGCTCCACTTCCGCAAGAGGAACAATCCTGTGATCGGAGTCCTAAAATCGCTGAATCGTGCAACTGGCCGGCTAAAATACAGCTGGTCGAGAGTCATAGAGCCGTGGAAAATGTTCTGAAAAGGCAGTTCTGGGTTTTTTTTTCTGCAGGAAGTTATTGCACGTTCATGAAAATGGATGGTGGAAAATTCTTACTCCTCCTGTTAATCCGAAAATTCGTTCAATTTCTGGTGGTGGCAGAACCTCATAGCCAATAACAGAGCTGGAGAAGTTCGGAGCATAGCAGTCGATTTCGTTGAACACTTAAATTGATACTTATGCTTAGTAAGAGGCTAATGCTTTGATTCTATGGCAAGGCTCCGAACCCGCACCCCGGCAAGCGCGGTCTCCGATAAAGAAAATGGCACTAGTTATAGTTTAGTTCGCTGCGGATGAAGGGGCGTGTCAGGCGGGATGAGTATGGCACGGTGCCGAACCCGTTCTCTACAGTTGTTGGAGCGAGCAGAAGGCAAGACTCATATCGTTCGTGTCACCACTGTTCTACCAATTGTTGTCGCACACCCGCTTCAACAACTGGCAGAGAACGGGTTAGGTGCCGTGGCACTCTCATACTGCTGGCACGCCCCTTCATACGCAGCGAATCAGATTCCTGTGTAAAGAGCACTTACGTAAACTGTTATCAACATATGAACGATATGGTACTACCATAACATCAGTTTCATTTTGTATGGCTACTCAAGGGTAGGCCTAAGCCGCCTGATATGGTTGGGCTGGAGGAGAGCGGAGGGGCGAATGACCTGTCTCCAGCTGCCTTTTCCTGTCAATAGTGATCGGTTGGTGATCCATTCAGGATGAAAACGAGCAGTGGTGGAAAGGCAGTGCGTAGGCGCATACGATCCCTATTGAAAGCGCTCGTACTGAATGCGACTATATCAAATGTAATTTGGAAAAACTCTGGACCATGTTTAGCATATTGCTCTTTCCGTTCTTCGTTCCAGGGACCCTCCTCCAGTGAGTATGGAGTGCACTGGGTAAAGAGTGAAATCACATGTGACGAGTCATCTGGAACCAATGAGCGGTCGACCACAGACGGAATTGTCATCTCGATCACTGGCCTAAACTAGGAGGAATTCCAGCCTCTCAATGTGGAGCTGTAAATTGTGAGGACAACGAACTCACCTCCGACTCCAGTGACCGTTACGGAAGTCTCTGACGCCTTCGTGAACGACATCCATGCTCTCGCAATTGAGATGAACTGTGGTTTGGTGATGAGGCTGAGGGGTGTTGGAAGTGTTTGGACGGCACGAAAACGATGGCAACTCCCGCACCGCAACTGCAAATGCCAGGATAATTCCTTGATTTTATGATATTGGAATGGTACTAACTGAGTCTAACCGTTTATTTTTGTCACCGGAGATGTGTAGTCAATGGATTTCACAGATCTGAGGAAATCAGGAGAAAGATCGGACTGGAAGCAAAGGCTATCAAAGTCAGAAATGCTGAAAATTGATAAAAGATGCGAACCGACTTCATTCAGTAGTTTCTCAAATGTCACTCTTGGTGTGGCGTTTGACAGAACAGTGTTAGCGTGAACCTCTTTCCCGTTCGACAGTCTGACTCCCTTGGCTGTTCTGTTTTCTACTAGAATTGAGTCCACCTCCTGAATTGAAGCTCGTATGAGGAATCGGTTTCAATGAACGGTGAGATGGTTAGACATTTTGTGTTTCACGACCAACGTGCTTAGCTGAGCGCCGCTCATAGAGCCATGGTGGCACGAGCTTTTTCGTGGAAGTGGCGGTTCGGACCATAGATTGGCAGGTTGATCAATTCTCTTTATTATGTGCTACGCATGCTACAACTTTTGATCTCAAGGACTGTGAATGCCTATGCGCTTAGTCCGCACAAAGATTTTTAGTGGTCAGCGAATGTTCGAGTCGAAAGTTTCAGTCGCCTAGACACTTCTGAAAGCAACCATTGTCTGTTAAGGGATAAAACGCTGTTCACAACGAGGTTTGATGCTATGTTGATACATGCTAAAAACGATGTAGCAGTTGCTTCCTTTGCCTGCTCTGCACCTGCTCAAAAGTCATTGTTTAATTGTAAAATAACAACTGCACTTCACCCGTGGATCCTGTTCCTTGTTGTTCCAAAAAAGCACGGGATCGAAGTTCGAGGGGAGCGATCAGTGCCGTTTCCAAATTTCGCCTGCGCTGCCACTGGGGCAGCGTCACGCCTAGCCATATCCAAACACGCTACAGGTCTGCCCCCTCTCACTTCTGCTTGTGCTCTACCGCTGAGCGCAAGTCTCGTTGCGAGATACGGTATCGACGCAAGGGCTGTACATTCAGAATAGCGCGGGCAGAGCTGAAAAATATCACCAGGATATCATTACCCTTCAGCTCTGTCCCCGTGTTGTTTCGAGCAGGAAAAATGACACACAACTGCAGCTGCAATCCATTGACTTCACATGGGAAGGACTGTCCTCAGAAGGTCAGAGTACATTGTGTCTTCAAGCGGATAGGGTTACATTCATGTGCTTGCTCTGCTTAACGACTGTACTACTTTAGTTAGAAGAGTTCACTTGTACGTTTTCAGAGGTTTGTACGTGTCATTACAACATATGGTCCACTGACTCTGTGGAAAGCAGTGCCCATTGCACATCCGGAACTGCTGAACTAAACAAAGTCGTAACAAAGACTGAGTCCGTAGTCAACTGACTTGTACGCGAGATGTAGCTCGTACAAATGTCCAACTTATTATTGAGCACCGGTTAGGTGCACCTTTTGCTCTTCATAAGCAAATTTGATAACAAGGTATAGACAAGGTACTGATAAGGTGCAAGTGTAGTGGGGGGGGGGGGGGGGGGGGGGACTTGAGTCAGTGCTTGCGATATGAGTAAGCTAAGGACGCTGTTCATCAAGGCACGATCTCCGAGTCGACTCGCCTGTTAGTTTGGGCCAACAGGCATGGTTGCATGCGGCAGTATGCTTTGCCACTCTTGCTGTCAGGTCTCTCGTTCGTGCGCTCAGTGACTCGCCGCCTTATGCTTCTTTGTGGGCTCAGAATCAGCTGCAGAATAAGGTCTCATGTAGTGCACTCCCACAGGTTCTTGCTGTTCTTTTCTGCTCTGCTGGACTAGAACAAACACTTTCGTTTTTGCTATAGACCATCATGACTTGCAATAGTGGGATGTGCCGTAGAATGAGCCCCTTTTTCGTCACTCGCATTTCTCCTTCATCCCTTGATTTCTTTCCTTCCTTTCCTTCACCTTTTTCCTTTCCTTTTTTTTGGTGTCTGAACCATAGATTTGCAACCGATTTCAATGCTTTACCTGATCAGTGAACAGTTCGGCACCATGACTTGTTGCAGCTTTAGCAATCGCTTCAGACACCTAAAATGCGGATGTAATCTGCTCTTTTACAAAGTAAATGCAGTATAAGTAGCGTTGAATTCATGGGTACTTACCGCTCCCATTCCTCCCATCACATATCCCCATGTACCCGATCGATTGTCCAGTCCTCCCAGGACATGATGGAGCAGGACGTAACTAAACAGTTATCATTTATCGGAAGTGTGGAAGTGTTATAGTCCATAAGAAAATAATCGCTTTAAAGACCCTGTTCCGCTATCGTAAGGGCTGGCCGCGAAGCCGATAACACCATCAGTGCCTAGAGTTGCCTTTAGCACGTCGCTCTCGAACCATTTGTTCATCACCTGAAAGGTTCAGAAGAGAATCGCCGATAAACATTCGAAAGTTGTAACAGACTGGAGCAGTACTAAGCTGCAGAAGTTCACAGAATGGTAACCTCGCTAAAGGTGGAAAAACACCATCGTTTTAAAAGAAAAGCTTTGAAGCACGTTCCGCCTTCATTTATTAGGCCGACGCGTTCCGGAGCAAATGGTCCCGTCCCAAAGCACAGAAGTTTCTAGGGCACTCATGAAGGCCTTTCTCCTACCTTCTTTTCTTTTAAGTAAAGTACCACCATTTGATAAGATTTGAACCCCCATCACTCACCATTTTTGATTGCATGATGTACCTTTAAGCCTTTTAAAAGCAAGAATCAGGAGGAAATTTTGTCACCTTAGCAATTGGTGCCGTCATCAATTCGTAGAAATCAACAGTGTTGCTGAGTCCGATTCCTCGTACTGTAAATCAAAAGAATGAACACAGCAGCAAGTAGAACTCGAACTAGTCATGAAAACGGTGGCACTAAACGATTCTCTCAGTGTACCTCGCGGAGCGCGCTTGACCTGAGTTTGCCATTGAAAAAACTCCAGAAGTTCCGAATCTATGTCTAAAGTCGGAACAGGGCATTGACGCAGCGGTCATATTCTCTAGCGATATCATTTTTGGCGAAAATTGATCGGCCCTTCAAGTTTTGCGCAAAAAGTGCATAACAAACGAATGCTATCAAGATGTGGAAAGGTGATAGGCAGGCCGCTGACAACACTACTAGACAAGGGAATAAGAGAGACCTTGGACAGAGGTTTTAGATGATAGCCGCCCTCATCAACTGTGCATGGAAAGAGTTCTGTTACAGAACTCTCCCTTGATATCGTACGATCCCCAATTTCAGCACAGTGGACTGAAAGAAATGGTTGGAGTCCGGAGATTGAATGGTTCAGACATGTCATATTTCTCATGAAACCTCGCTAATGCCGGAGGGCGAGCTTTTGAAACCTTGAGTCTGAGATAAAAAGTTTCTTGCGCACCCAGGAACACACAAGGGAACTGTTGTAGTTGTTGCCGTCACCCTCATGTACTCCCTGATCCTGGGGGCAAATCCGTAGGGTCAACGTTTTGGGTCGCTCGGAATATTATGGCCTGTCTGGCTTGAACCTGTTAATGATGACGCATGTTTGCGTTGTACCTGCTATCTCATTGTTTTTATCTTCCAGGACGGGCCTGGCTTCAGTTCAGCGATATGCGAGGGATTGAAAACTGAGCAAAAGCCGATTGGAGGTTCGATCCCTTAGCCTGGTGCGCTACTTGG